CTCTCTCTCTCTCTCTCTCTCTCTCTCTCTCTCTCTCTCTCGCACGCCCTTCTGCCCTCTAGGAAGCTCCCTGAAAGATTCAACGCGGGGCTGCACCTCGGATACTTGCATTATGTAAATGTCTGAGTATTACATTATGTAAGTGCATCGCGCACGGGCGTTGAATAACGTTAATGTCGCGCGCGCGCCTCGCTTCGCCGACCCATAAATCCGATTTATACACGAATATGTCCGCCCAAGTGGCCGCTAAATCACCGGGTTTTAAGAGCGGAGATAAGGCTCGTCGCGCATCGATTGCCAGGCGTATTCGAGTCGACGGAATTCGAGTCGGCCGATTCCTCGCGCCGCGGAACGCCCGCCGCGAATCCTACCCTCCAGCGGATGGGAAAACTCCTTTCGGGGACGCGCGACGGTCTTCCGCTCGTTGTGGCCGCGCTGAAATATTCAGCGCGGTTCGCTTCAGATGGCTGCATTATGTAGCGCTCGCTTACCATCCCTTTGAATGACGATTCTATCGATCGGGTAATTACTCGCATGGAGCGGCACCGCGCCGGATGGAAGTAATTTCTTTTCCCTCCGCTGCGCCTCCCCTCTCTCCCTCTCTTTCTCTCACTTTCGTTGCAGCGGACGATCCGGCTAAGAGTGGAGGTTAGATAGAGAGAAAGAGAGTATATATAGCGGTGATCAGCACGACGAAAGGTTGGCGGGAGACGGGAAAAAGATTCGTCGGAGGATTACGGGTGCACTTTCGCGACGTCTTACGTGCGATTCCACGGAATGGTGATTCGCCATCGGTACGACGAATAGAAACAAATTTGCATATTTCAAAAGGCACCAGCTGGCTTCGGGATTGTGATGAAATTGGAGGAGTCCCCTCCCCCGCATCTCGACCCGTCACTCTCGAATTTAAAACTCATCTTTCGTTTCACCGAGCGTCACCGAGTGTTTCGATACATATTAATCGGAGCTTGACGTAATTTCCGCACGAGTACAGGCACTTTGCGAATTTGCGAAAGAGTTCTCCGTGAACTTGTCTCGAAATTTCTTATTTCATTTGAGAATTATAAGAGAGATAGGAAGAGAGAAAGAGGATTTCATCTCCCGAAATGCGGCGTTCGCCTTTTTTTATTGTTTGAATTGTTAAACAATTTCTCGACTTCGACCGCATTACACGCTTATCATTACCGTCGTCCTCATAAAATAATCGTTCCATTACAATGGAACTCCTCCTCGTTACGCTCTTTTAAACGGCAACATTCCCGCGCTTTACGACCCGCGTTACCGCATACAGCGGAATTAAAATGCACATAACAGTCAGCTATAGCGCAAAGAACGCGGAAAACACTGCGGGGTGTTAATAGCAGTAAGGCACTTTCATCTCGACGGAACAACACGGGACCAAAAATGCAAGTCCGCGCAACTGCGTCTAAATACATTACGCTCGTTCTTGGCGTTCTCGTGCGCGAGGATTAAAACAGAGATTAACGTTCCGCACTCCCTCTGTGTCTGACGCTTTGTCGCCGGATTATTTAGGAGAACCCTCCGAGAGCTTAGCGCCATTACTCCCGTTACGTTCACGTACAGCTTCGACGCCGGAGACATGGTTAATCGGGAAGGGGCTGAATCCGAGGGCGGTTCGCTTAAGTCGCCCCGTTATGTAAAACTGGTCCGGCGAAGGCGTCGAGCAACGCTCCACGTCGCTCCGATCCCGACAAAACAGCCTGTTAAGTCTCTCTCTCTCTCTCTCTCTCTCTCTCTCTCTCTCTCTCTCTCAGCTTGTCTCTTTCTCTCTCTCTCTTTCCTCGTGCACGGTGCACCGTAAATCGACGTCGGCCGCTTCGCGTCGTGCTGCATCCCCGTAGCTGCACCAACCGTGCTGCACCATCGTGCTGCACCTCGTCGAGCGCGGCTTTCGGTAAACTTTTTATTCATCGCGTCCCCCGGGGAGATCGGGCCGTGCGGGCGCGTACGTGGGCGTGGGAGTATTAAAGGAAAATCGATCTCTCGACGAGAGGAGAGAGAGCAAGAGAGAGAGAGAGATGCGCTTCCCATACACACACCAGCGGTCTGTGGCGCGGCCCCTCCCGTTCGGCCATCCACTCTCTTGCTTTCCCAACCCCGGCTCGCAATCGCAACCCCTCTCGGTGCCGGGACGAGCGAGCGAGCGAGTGAGCGGTGGCTACAACGCGCGGAATCCTATCTGGAAAGTTTGAGCAATACTCGAAATTCTGGGTCACACAAGCGAGTTGGTCGTGTCGCGTCGTGTCGTGTGGCGCGTCCCGTTGCGTCGCGGCGCGTCGACAAATCTCTAAGTAGATCCAATAAAATCGATTTCGCGAACGACCGTCCGACCGACCGATGTCTCTTTTCGACTAGGACCTATGCCCGGTCGACGACGACGAGGACGACCACGACGGCGACAGCGGCGACAGTAGCAAGCGCGTGTATTATCAGCCAGGAATTGCTCAGGGAAACGAGATCCCCGAGTGGCGCAATGCGTTCGCCGCGAGCGAACTTGCGTATCGCCACGATGGCATCGGTTGGCCTTATAGCCTCGGTAGCCCGCGGCATCGAGATGATTTCGGACCTCTGGTGTACCATCAATATAAGAATATGTGGATGGAGTATTCTACGAGAGAAAGGTTTAATTAGCAGTGAGGGAAAAGTTACGGAACTTTGGATATTTCCGCTATCGCTTCTGAGATTGTCAGTTCGCGCTGGAACTGTGACGCTTGCAACCAGAGTCTTTAAAAGAATCACCTGTCAGTTTATTACAAATTGCTAATGTGTTGCAAAATTTATAGAGTGAGTATATGTGAGCCGAACCCTATATAAATTAACAATACATGCTCCTTTCGGATATTCTTATGTCGATCGTATCGACTAATCCCAAAGAGAAAGACGTGGCTATACCGTCACGTAAAAATAACTTTTTCTCTCACGTACAAGTCTAGGAAGATCCGTTGTTTGCGTAGGACTTGTATCAATTTCGCCTACGGACTTCTAGAGCCTTCGTATTTTTCCACCAGCGATTAATTAAAACGGAGTAAAACGACGACACAGCGGCCGGGGTAAAACGACGAGGTGAAAGTAACGAACTCTCGTTGAACGCCCGATTCCAAAGTCTCCTGCAAGCTCGTTTGCACACGCTCAAAGACGCGCGCTCTGCTGCACGATGAAGTTGGTTTTCGTTCCGTTATTAACCGCGAAAGCGTCGATTCTAATATGCGGCATCATACGGATTGAGATAATAGGATTTAACGTGCGCGGCACAGTCTCTTTCGCAATTGCGCGAAGCCCCTTATCTCGGCGCGATCTCGATTTTCATAATTAAGCGGCGATCCGATCATGTGAGGGCGCCGTCTGTGCGCGCGACGCGTTCTTCGTTCGGGAATATTAAACGGTTCTGAACCGCACGAGCAACGATTGGAGATTACAGTGTCTGTTTATGTCCATCAAAGCGCAGTGTTGTTGCATTCGAGAATTGTTGAATCCACTAAAATCTACTAATATTATTGGACCGGAATTGTTTAATCCATTAATGGACGGAAGAGAATTGTTTACACGGGGATATACATTATTATGGAAATTATTATTAATCTCGCACAATTATACATAACGTGTGTGGGAATATCTCCAACGCATTATTTAGTTTCCACGTTTGATATTGCATTTTTATGGGGGCACTCGGAGCTTAGGATTATTCGTAATTATTCATACATGCATTTCAATTTGAAAGGTTTCCAACGATCGTTGCGCGTCACGCGCCCCATTAATCGACTCAACACTCGCGAATTCTACATCGAAGTTCGCACCGAGTCGCGGAATGTTCCCCGACAAACCGATCCATTTCGACAGCAGTATTAGGACGGTGATCGAGGTAGCATTTCATTTCACCACTGTAGCGAACGCTTAGTCTCGTGTGGCATTCGCGATCTCGCAACCAAATGAAGTTTCTTATATCGTGACGTTTCCGTACGCATTAAGCGCGCGCTAGGATCACTTATCTTTTTACAGCCGACGGATCAGACCAGATAATTATTGCGAGCCGGCTCACCATTCCTCCTCGATGTACTCTTCGCCGAGTGTAATCTTCCTCTACGATCTCCCTTCCCCCAGCTCCTCGTTCTCCTTCTCATCCTCCTGTTCCTCCCCTGCCCCTCCATCTCGTATATTCCGTTCGGAGTATTCTCATTTGAGCAGACATCAGGTTTTGCCCTTCGTGTACTTGTCGACCCACCCGCGCCCTCGGCCTTAATGGAGGGCAATGTCTGTTGCAGTAATCTAAGCAAATGAATTTCTCGATAAATCACCGCACACTCAATTCGTTCCGCGTAGCCGTGTAAGAAAAAACGGCTCTTCGTCTGCGACACAAATTGCAACAGCGGCGCCCTCACGGCGGTATTAAAGTCTCTCGCGTTGATCCTAAACATCCGCCGTAATCGTAAACTTCTGTAATGCGTCCACAAAGAACACTTGGGTCGCGCGTCGTGTAGTAGCTTCATGGCGCAACTCAAATTTGTAATTATGCCTATAACGCCAGCTTCATGAGGGACAATGTGACGATGTGATGAATACGGCACGCGCAACGTGGATGAAATTTGAAATCGTCGAAATGACGAGTCGATCGATGATAAATGCTAATGACAGTTGCATTAAATGATCATTTATTGCCACACGGAGAGAATATTATATAGTTTTTTTAAATTCTTTTAAATTATAAATTTTTTTAAATTCTTTTAATTAAATTATAAATTTAAATTCTTATAAATTCTTTTTTTTTACATAAATTCTTTTCAATTTGACTATGTTTCTAGTAGTGCAAGAATAGATTGTAACACTCTTTTGCTAAAAGACATAAGAAATTCGACTAGAAATGTTTAATAGCGTTTCAATTTCTGATAAATAAGTAATAATAATAATACTAATATTTACTTTATTGTATTTTATATGAAATAAAAAGTTTTATATGAAATGAAGTTTTATATGAAATTAAAAATTGTACACAGAGAGAACGATTTAATTGAATCAAATAAACCCTTCTTTGGAATAATCCAAATGAATTTTTGGTTTGATCAAACAAAATTTGGTTTAAAGCAACAAAAATATTTATTTGCGGCTTAGTTCCAAAAAAATATTTTTGTTGTGTCAACCAAATAATTCGTCTGGGCTATTCCAAAGAAACATTTATTTGAATCAATAAATCGTTCTCTCTGTGTAATCAGTTATTGTAGATCGATTCCTCGATCTATTCATTAATTAAAAAATTCTACAATAAATTTTATTATAATATTCTCCCCATGACATGGATGATTTAATTTTGTTATTCGGGACAATGGAAATGCCTCTTTCTCTTTCTCTGTCTCGTCGCTGCATTTATTTCGATTAATCTTAGACATTCGCGATGTACTCGGCAATTTTTGTGGAAGGAAGATAAACGGGCAGCGGCAATAATGACTTAATCCGCATATACCCATTCGTTATGAAGCTGCGATACGGAAAAATCCAACTGGCATTATTTCTCCAAACTTTATGGATCTGGGATTCCCCGCGCGGCAAATATTTTCGTTGCGAGAGCTCTACGTCCTCTCTTTTTACTCGTCTCAACAGCTCGTTGAGAGATTTCAATCGCGATAATGAGCGAGTGAAATGTACCGTACGTATCGAATTCAACGAGGTCATCAAACTATCGAGGGTATCGCTATCCAAACTGAAATCTTTATTAAAAACTTTTCCGTAGGCCTCGTAATTCCCGCTCACTCACTTTCATGGGCGCGGGGGTGCGCGCGGAACTAATTCGACGGAACTAATAACGAAAGAATTTACGGAGGGACCTGCGGTCCCGCGGCAAGAGCAACTTCCTTAACGACTTTCTTCCTGGTAACTGTCCGGCCGTTAACTCCTCGGTGCCAGTGATTTTCAGGAAAGCAATCCGCGATCGCGCTTTCAAACCTTTCGCAGCTGCCTTAACCGTCGACGATCGGCCGTCGAAATCTCGTCCTTTCCCTTCGTCGTTTACCCCTTCTCCCCTTTTCCCTCCGCTCTCTCCGCGCTGCCTGCCGTTTCGTCGATTTCCTCTGCTTCCTTTGGTTCTCTTACCACCTACTACGTTTCGTGTACGAACGTTCGACGGCGCTAAACTCGTTGCCGAAGCGACGCAGCGCGACCCTGCCGAAGAAAAAGGAAGGCCCCGGCGGGAGAAGTGGCGAGGATAGAAAGGGGTGAGTCGTGGGCGGCAGGATTGCCAGAGGGTAGGTGAGCGCTCGGTCGGGGGTGGCTGCGCCGAGTAAGAAGTTACGAAACGAACGCGTTACTTTGGCTGCACTCGTCGCGACCGATTCTACCGGAAGGAGAGCACGAGGGAGATAGAGGACACGAGACACAGGGCGAAAAAAGGGGATAAAAAAGTGGGAAAAGACGCGACATCGTCGTCGTCGTCGTCGTCGTCGTCGTCGTCGTCGTCGTGGTCGTGCTCTCGACTCTAAGCCGAGAGCAGCAGGGACGGCTTTGAGCCAGCTGAGGGCTCCAGTGATATTAGTAGTACGATGCTACGCTATTCCAAATTTCATTAAGTAGAGTATACGTCGGCGCATAGCGGAGGTTAACATGCGAAAGAGCACGGGAGAGGGAAATAAGGAACCATTTATCCAAAGGAATTTTCAGTCCTCTCTCTTTCTCTCTCTCTCTCTCTCCGTCGTTTCAATCGGCGACCGTTTTAATGGCTCGCGCGCCATTGATACGCATTCGTGAAGCGAACCAACCAGTTCAAACAGCACGGTCGTTTTTGCGGTTTTAGTTCGCTCTTATTTCCGATAGTGCTAACGGAGAACAAACGAAGCTGCAAACGGAAAAGCACAGTCCGGTGAGTTGGTTCATTAGCAACCGAGAAATTTATTCCGCGCTTCTGATCCAGTGGTATGTGAAAGGTGATGGGTGGTTTCAGACTCTAATTATTAATAATATCTATTATTAATAAAGTTTTGATTGTCACGCTGGCTTATCAAGACCCGATAACATCGTAGTGTACAAACAGGGAAAGGGACGGGGGTGAAATACACGCGTGTTTGTCGAGGATTAAAGAGGGAAGAGGTTATCAGTAATTACACAGTCGTCGTTATGAGCATATCTATGGGCACATCTATCATTGCAATAATCGATTTCGACGACGCGTCGATTGAAACACCGTAAACTGAATCTGTTTAAAACTCTATATCGATTGCTCTATATACTGTCCATCGTTTCCAACCGCAAAGTTATCCCCCTGCGACAGGAAAGAGTTAGTGGGACGCGTGACCATTGCGGTCGAAACTAATTTATAGAGTCTCTTAAGGATCTCCTCTTGCGGTCGCACAGGATGGTCGTCGGCAAAGAGAGAAACGCGAGAACGAAAGAGTGACTTGACTGACGTTTAAGTTCTTTTGTAAACGCGACTAGCCGTTCAAGTCCACTCGCCTTCCTAAGACGTTCTGGCTAGAGAGAAAAATCTCGAGACGCGAATGAGAGAACGGAGACCGTCGTGTTCGCTTGCGGTATCTCGTGAGACTAATCGAAACGAATCTGATCGCGAGAGGAGCGGCGAAATTCTGGAGAACAAGTATTTTCCCCGAAGTCTCCCTCATGGGGGAAGGGATTCGCAGCCGTGTCACGACTCCGGACAAAATTTTATGTCTTTATGCTCTTTCGATTATGTTCACAAAAAGTCGGGGTGACTCCTACGGACACGCGAGGCATCCGTGACGCGTTCGAAAACTTTTTCCCGAAGCGTCACGCTTTAGTGATATTTCGCCGGTCAACGCGCGATGTCGAAAGTTCCGCGTTGCGCAGATATCCCATGAGTGCCGTAGTTTCCCGTAGGTAGAATTTCGTTGGGTTTATCTGGCGCTGTGTACGCGACCCGGTCAATATTTGTTACACTGGTTTATGCTCGCTTTTACTGCCCCATCGCCGATCTACAGAGGGAATCCGCGCTCGGTTTAACGCGAGCGAGGAAAACACGCTCGGTACGGTAGATGCGCGCTTGTTCTTGTTTAATTCTTCAACCACAACGTATTACTCGAGTTACGGATCACCTAACAGATTCTTGCCAATTCGAGAGTGGGAGAACGTTTACTAATGAAGAAGGACTGGCAAACACGACGTACAATTAGTTAGTTTTCCCTCTTCACATTCCAATTATCGCATCACTGCTCGTCTAATCCGCCGCGACGCTTTCAGTATCGTGCATCTTCTTCGCATCGCTTCTCCGCCGCAACTTCCTAGTTCCATCTCCTTCGCTTCGCACCTACAGAGTGTCCTTACAGTTATTTCGCCGTCTTTTTTTGCAATCCGTTAGAGATCACCAAACGGTGCTCGCGCTCCAACTTTCCTTTGAAAATGAATTAAAACGAGATTTTTCGCGCCGTAGCTTTCACATCTCCGCCTTTCGTCTATCTTAACAAACTGCTTCATCTTAATTAATTATCGCGGTGCCAATCCTTATTCGAAATTAATGAAGGGGAAAAGCACAAAGGGAAAAGATCTCTCGCGGCTCCTGCATGCACGAAGAAGTCATTTATTTCACTGTGTATCGCGAGGGAAAAAATTACGTGTCATCCCGAACACCTGACGCCATAAATCAGCCCAGTTGCAGTTGCTAATCCGCGATCCCCGGAGTAAAATCCACTCTGTGATAAAGCGATGAAAGAAGGCGCGGCTGAAACTTCGGGACACCCCGTAGAGCACTCTGCGCCCCAAGTAGGAGCTTCGTAACAAAGGTGTCGCGGCAATTATCTCCGAGCGCGTGCAATTACTTCGAGGCCGAGAGCAAACTCTAGACTGGCCCATTTACCGGGGATATCGGAGAATCGGCGGTCCTCCTTTCGGAACTCGAGATTGTTGTCGCTCGAGGTTAGTTAATCACGCTGCCAGGGGGATGAAGGGGCCCAAGATGGTGCTCGACGGTAGCAGCGGCGCCATGAATATCGCGCCGTTCTACACTTCGGCCAAACTTCGCGGAATGCTCCGCTTTGTTCGATATGCGGGCCAGAGAGCGAGAGAGAAACAGGGGAAGAGTGGGTGCAAGTGAAAGAGAGAGGAGAGGGCAAGGAAAAAGACGTCGGGTTAAGTGAAAAATCGTGTCTCCGAGGCTCGGAGCAGCGCGATAAGCACCTAATCGCCGGTCTGCGATAATGTAATGAGATACGCTACTATTTTAGAATACGTACGTAAGTAGACGTGGGGTGGGTCATTGATCAAACGAAGTGGGCCACTTTGCGCAGACTTGGATCGAGTTCAGGGAACTGCGA